CACTATGGTTTAATGCGCCAGACTGCAAAGCCATTTGAACTGCAAGGTTGGCGGTTCAAGCTCACCAGCTGCTCCTCGGAAACCCTATACAGGGTCACTATGGGTCAGAATTGACTCGATGGCACTTAACAGCAACACTATGTTACTCAGAGTACTTAGATGGTGCAAACTGGTAACATGCTCAGCTGCTAACCAAAACATGGAAGGTTCAAGTCCACCCAGAAAGCCTGAAAATCGAGTCCTTTGAAAAATCAATCATTGAAAACCCTATGGAGCATAGTTATACTAAAGGGGTGGCCATGAGTTGTGGTTGACCCCACAGTAACTGGGTTTTTAAGACATGGGTGACTTATGGGTAGAATTCTCCCCCTCCCTTCGGGAGACCTAGGCTTGATTCCCCGGCCTATGCTCGTGATGTGCAGCCACCACCTGTCTTTGTCGGTGGAGGTTTCCGTGTGGCTGTGATGCTGAATAGATTCCATTGGGACTTCCAGATTAAGGCAGACTAGGAAGAAAGTCCTGGTGATCTCAGCCAATGAAAACACAATGGATCACAATGGTACCAAAACCCAACCACTTAGACCACCCATCATGGGGCTGGTGAAGGGCCAGGTTGCGTTTCCTTCTGCTGTCCTCGAGTGAGATGAGGTCGTCAGGAGTCAGGGCCGACTCTACAGCAACTATCAACAACATTTATCAATGGTCTACTGTTTGCTGTGGCCCTCCCTGCTGCCTCCCTCCAGGCCATGACTGACCCATGACCACTGCCCCACTGTGCTGACCCAGAGCCTCTGAGCCCTTAGGAATGGACGTCCCCCAAATTCCTGGAGCACTGACCACAGCTGCTTATTTCCTGGAATCAGAGGCAGCTCTGGGGGGGTGGGGGCGAGTAAGGAGGGGGTGCTGGGGGCGGGGCTGGCAGGGGGGAAAGTCCAGCGCATCTGGACTTAATCCTGAGGGGAGGGGAGGGAGAGGAAAGGGGGAGGGAGACAGAGACACTGAGAGACAGACTAGGAGAGAGACCGAGAAGGGGAGAGACAGAGGAATTGAGAGGGAAAGACAGAGGGAGGGAGGGGGAAGGAAGGAGAGAGGCAGAGGAAGAAAGAGACACTAAGAGAGACAGAGAGAGGAGAGGGACAGACACACCAGACAGACACAAAGACACCAGGGAAGGGACAAAGAGGAAGCTGAGAGATGCCCAAGACAGAGCAGTCCCAGGAAGCAGACCCCCAGGGTAGGCCCAGGAGAGAAGGCAGTGCTGGAACAGGGAGGTGTGTTAGGGACGGGCATGGCTGACGCAAGGGTAGGGCTCGTTCGCCAAGTCCCCCTTATTGTTCCCAACAGGCAAAGGAGATGCTGAGTTTTGCCCAGCCCACAGGTTGGACCAGACCCTGTCCCCTCCCATCCTGGCCCTGGGGTCCCACCCTGGATCTCTGGGCAGGGTGGTGGGGGCACTGGGCTCTGAAAGGCCCCCGGGCCCTGGACTGTCCGAGTCTAGCTTCCTGCCCCCTCCCACTACTTGGCCGGCCCTAGCAGGAAGGCAGAGGCCTGGGCAGCGGGCCCTTGGGCCAGAACAGAAGGCCTATATCTCTTGACCACTTCCTGCTGACCGCCAGGCCTGGAGGGGAGGTGAGGTCAGCCTACTTGGCGGCCCACCCTCTACTCTGGCCCTGAAAGGGACCAAGCACTGCCTCTGAGTGGGGAGTGGGGTCCAATATGAGCCTCTTCCAGATCCATAACAGGCCAGACTCGATGTCCCTGCTGCCCTTGGGGTAGGTGGGGGGCAACTCCTGCCTTCTACAGCCCTGACCTTGACCTCCAGAACTGTGAGGAATCTGAGAAAGAATCTAGGTTCCCAGCTATGTGCCTGGAGGCACTAGCATGGGCCCAAGTCACAGGAAAAATTTTAGTTGAACCCCAGCTTCCTGAAGCCTCAGCTGGGCTCTGCAAAAACATCTCAGGGGAAGGAACCCCTACAATGCTTCTATGGGGGTCTTCCCAGCCAAGCACTTAGACCCCATGTCCCCTGTCCCTGGTGCCTTCCCTTCCTGCCAGAGGGGCCCCTGAGAACTCTGGGCCCACTGGGTCAGGCAGCATTCCTGAGAGGAGCTGGACCACACAGCCAGGAATCTGCTCAGCACCTGGTTTACAGGGGAGGCTGTTTGCCCAGGGGGGGATGGCATCATCAGAGGGGACCTGAGCAGAGTGTACCTGCCTCGGACTGAGGATAGGGTCTGTCCATCTGGAACCCTCCAGGCCTGCTACAGAGAACCAACAGCACTAGGGGTGGGGCAGGGGGTGGGGCTGGGCAGGCATTGGGCAGATGGCTAGAGGAGAGGAGGGGTTGGAAGGCAGGAGGGGAGCCCCCAGTAGCCATCTCCTTGCTGCGTGTCCCTGGGAGACCCATGCACACCTCACAGGGTTCTCATGAGATTAAACAATGGAGGACAGACACCTGTGACTCTGGGCAGAGACATCGTGACTGGGAATTCCCAAGTTTCCAAGCTGGCCCAGCAGTTATAGGAACTCAGAGGCGTCAGAGAGACTGAAAGCTCCCCACCTGGCTGGCCCAGTGCCCAGCCCAGCCCTCTTCACAGCTGCTTTCTCTTGGGCTCCAAGAGGAAACATGCAGCAGGAAGGATTCAGATGAGACAAAGGAAAGAACTTCCTGGAGGCAAAGCTAGGAGATATCGAGACAGGAAATCCATGTCCAGAGTGTCTTTGAAGGGCAGAAAGAGGGGACAGGAGGGTCACACCCAGGCCAAGGTCACACCTGAAGTCTGGCGTGGGGGGCACCCATCTGAGAGGACAGTCATCCTTCAGGTGTTTCTTACCCTGGAGGCAGCTGCTGGGGCCTGAGGAGCAGTTCAGGGGCTCTGAGATTCAGCTGTGGTAACAGGTAGGGTGGGACCCCTATCCACAGCCGCCACCTTGCCCAGAGGCATAGCAAAGTCATACTCCACTTAGTCAACAACCCCAAGCCTCTACCTCACATCCATACCCCAAACCCCTACTTCACACCAACACCACTGAGTCCCACACCTCACACCTGAGCCCCTACCTCACACCCGAGACCCTACCTCACAATGACACCCCTGAGCCTCTGCCTTGTACCCATACCCCAAGCCCGAGGCAAGGGACACATCCTATAATTTATAACATTCCAACTACATGGTGACACCTCCAGTCACGTCTCCCTTCTGGGACTGACGAAACAGATGGGGAAGACTTTCAACGGCTCTGTCCAAGGTGAGTAAGCCATCTTTATGCTCCTGTGCACTTGGCACCTCGCCTCACCTTCCTCTGGTTCCAATCACCTACCCACTGTCTGAATTTTTGACTAGAACATCAAGAGCAAGGCCAAAGAGGCCTTGTTTGGTGTCGCATACAAGGGTACACAGAAGGCGTTCATAAACAGTTGCTTCGATGTGTGCATGCCCAAGGTGCACGCTGGGGCAGAAACACACCCCGGAGCAGTAGAATTAGACAACAGTCCTCCAGGGCCGAGAGGTCCCATATTTCAGGGTAGACCAGACCCCTGTGATCCTGCAGGGGCTCAGTCACCTGCAGCCCCCAGAGAGATCTCTCTTCACCACCCTCCCCCCCAACCTCCATGCTCCATGTCCCGAGCCAGCTCCATCAGAACTTGGCATGGGGTCCTGTGTGAAGCTATTCTGCACCAGTGTCTCTATGGACAACAAAGCCAGGTTCCTGGGTAGATCAGACACTGCTGCCCAAGTGCCACATGAAGACTCCCCACAAGAGCATTTCACAACCTCGGGGTGGGAGGAGAACCAACAAGTAGGCTTCCTTCATTCTTCAGACTAGCTTCCTGGAAGAGTACGGTGCCGGGGGACAGCCCCCAGATGCAAGAGGAAGAGCCCTGAGCAAGGGTTTCTGCTTGCTGGGAGTCAGTTTCCCATCTGCAAGCTGGGTATCTGGAAGGGGCTGCCTCAGGCCTCGTACAAACCTGAGGTCTTCCTGCCCAACGTACACCTGTCCCCACCACTGACTCCAGCCTTGCCTTCTCTTGCTGTTAAGTACGGTCCAATTTGGAGAAGGTTATCATGTTTGGTAGGGGGGAGGGTCAGAGAAAAAGAGGAAGACCCCAGAGAGATGGATTGGCAAAGTGGCAGCGTCAATGGGCTCAAGATTGGTGGCAACAATAGCAAGGGTGGCCCAGGATCCGGCAGTGTTTCGTTCTGCTGTGCATAAGGTCGCTATGATTCGCTACCAAGTCCTTGGCACCTAACAACAACAATTTCGAGAGAGCTTTTAAGTGTCATCCTTCTTCCAGAAGGTGTCTGGGCTGCGGGGTGGAGGGCATCTGAGGAACCCCCTCTGCCTGAGCCTCCAGACACGCAACACAGGAGTACTGCCTCAGCCACTCACTCCACCCATTGTGAACTTACACACAGCAGAGCACAGGGTCTCAGACCCTCATCCACAGAGCGTTTGTTGAATGACTAACAGAAGGAGCCAGCCCAGAATGGGGCAGGACTCTGCTGCGGGAAGATGGCCCAGCCCCCTTCCCCACCCATGTCCTCTGTCTCCCAGGGGTAGGGGCATAGTCTCTATCTCTCTTCCCCCACCGCAGGGTGCAGAGGCCTGGGACTTCCTGCGCTACATTAGGCTCCCCACCTGTGTTGCCAAAGTCCAGGAGGAGAGAGAGCAGTACCCGCCTCCCGAAGCCTCAAGAGACTGAGATAATCTGAGGGCCGACCTCAACCCTAAGGGAGGGAATGCGGAGGAAGGGCCGGCGGCCCAGGCCCTAGATATTGGCTTGAGTCACAGACTGAGTAACACCCGTAGGCCAGGCGGACTTACAGGTTCTGGCCTCCGTTTGGCGGACGGGCAAACTGACGCGGGAGGGGGCATCTAGCACAGGGGTCCTGGGTCCGGAGCACTGACGGCCCAGCCTCCCCGGGCCTGGGACAACCTGGGCCTCAGTTTCCCCGTCTGTGTTAGCCCTTGCAGAGGAGGCGGGAGCGGGCACTCACATGAGGTCAGGCCGGTGGCGGTGCAGGATGGCGCAGAAGGCCAGGCCGTCCCGGAACGAAGTGGTCATGTTGGTGATGCTCACGTCCCGGTAGCCCTCACACTGCTGCCGGCACCACTGCTGCAGCGCCTTGATGGCGGCCATGTGGCCAGCGCCGGCCGGCCGGCCCGCGGGTCCGGGCGCGCCCTCCTCTCCGCTCCCGGGGCTGCGCCGTACTGGACGGCCTGCAAATGGACGAGTGCACGGATCGCGGCGGCCGAGCCCGGACCCAGCCGGCTGAAGGAAGGAAAGCCGCCGAAGCACCGTGGGGTCCAGAGCGCGGGCCAGCTTGCCAGCCACGCCCACACCCAGCCGGCCCACCAGGCCCTGCCTCTGCCCGGGCTCCACCCCCGCCTACCAAGCCCCGCCCTCCCACAACGCCCCAACCCCGGGACCCAGCTGGCCGGCTGGTCACGCCTCCGGATCCCAGGCCACACCCATGGCCCGGTCCTGCCTTGCACTCTGGTAGCAACCAAAGCGTGGGCTCAGCCTCCTAGACAGACCAAGCTCTTGGTCGACCAGCCACGCCTCCTTTGGCTCAGCCTCTCTGGCCACGCCCCTTCCCTGTCCTCCCATTGCCTCCACCCCCACCCTGACCCCCAGGAAGGGGCAAAGTCTGCTGGGGTGAGGGCGGGGTCTGGGGGTCCACATCAGAGGTAGGCTCCCGCCCTGGGGGTCCTGGTCAGCAGCCTGCTCCTTGTTGTTGTTGTTGTTAGGTGCCATCAAGTCGGTGCCAACTCATAGCGACCTTATGCACAGCAGAACGAAACACTGCTCCTTCTCGCTGTTTTTCTTCCTTTTCACCCCCATCGTGAAAAAGCGGAAGTAAAGACCCGTTTACAGAGGGAGAAACTGAGGCTCGAACAGACGTGACCTGCCTGGAGTCACAGCGCTAAGGAATTATGGAGCCGGAACCAGGCTAACCTCTGGAGCTGCTGTGAAATCCGGCTCCTGGGGCGGTGAAAACCGCGCCCTACACTTCAGTCTTCAAAGGGCCTTCCCGCCTGGTCTGTTGGGCCAGCGCCCGTGTCGTGTGCACAGAGAGGCATCATTCCGGGTGGGGCTCCCAGAACCCTGTCCACTCGGGCTGTTCCCGGGGCAGGGGATTTCCCAGGGATCTGGGTCATTTGTTCTGTGTTTCCCAATTTTCCACTTTCATCACTGTACAGCCAATAATTAGGAATTCTCCATAAGTGATGTGAGGCAAGGGTTCCCACCCCCCTTCTTCCAGTGGCACATGAACTGTACCAAGCCGGAAATACAGACACCTGAGAAGTAAGGGGCTTGCCCAGACAGTGCCCAGCAGGATCCACCCCATCCAGTAGGAAGGTTTATGCCCATAAATGGCCCCTGAGGGAAACAGACCGGCATTCCTGCCGATGTGAAGGAACAGAACACTGAGGCTGCCACCTCAGTGGACACCTTGGTGGCCCCACAGTGGAAGTAAGGCTTGTGAGTAGTGGTGAGCTCCCCGTTCCAGGAAACATGAAAGCAGGTGCCAGGCAGAGATCCCTGTGACCTAGGATGGCTGCTGGCCATGGCTTGGGACCTTCCAACAGGTTCCCAGTAAGGGGACAAAAGGCAATCTCATGCTGACTCAGCCAGGAACTTGGTTGTCTTGACCTGGGTACAGCCATTCAAACCGGAAAAGCAAGTGTACAGAAGGGAAAAGCTAGGAGTGCCTAGATGTCTGGCTGGGCCACTGGGAAGGGGGACAGAGCTGGGAATGTTCTCCAAAGAGCATAGAAGTGGTCAAGTCCTGGTCTTTAAGTATCAGGGCTGTACCCTCCTCCCATCTATGGCCAGCAGTCCCCTGGGGCCACCGAAGATGACCCCAGCACAGAGCTCTGTCTTCCCTCAGCCCCCTCCTTTCCAACCAGGTACCATGGAGTGAATTCTAATTCCAGGCAGCCCCTTCTGTGTCACACTAGAATTGCAATCCATAGGGATTTTTCAATGCCTGATTTTTCAGAGGTAGAGAGCCAGACCTTTCTTCCGAGGTGCCTCTGTGTTAAGTGCCATTGAGTCTGTTCCAACTCACAGCGACCCTGTACAGGGCTTCCAACAAGCAGCTGGTGGGTTTGAGCTGGCAAAGTCCAGTGGTTCAAAGTCCGGTGCTGAGCCTACAGTGCCACACCAGGAGTCCAACGTGCCTCTGGTGGACTCAAATCCCCAACCTTTCAGTCAGTAACACCTAGGAATCCAATGCATAGAATAAAACCATCAAGTTGCCATCAAATCACTTCTCCATGGTGCCCTGTGTGTGTCAGAAGAGAACTGCTCTCCATAGCATTTTCAATGGCTGATTTTTCCCAATTGATTGCCAGGTTTTTCTCGACTTGAACCTCTAACCTGTAAAGCATATTAACAGTTTACATCACCTAAGAACTCCCTCTCCTGTGGGGGCTCTGGACCAGGGCCAGGATACCACTGTCAGCCTGCTCCTGACCACTGTACCACCCTCCTCATGATCCCTTCTGTTTCTTTGATCACCAATGTCCAAGGACCTTTTTAGAAAGTGGACCTGACCAAGCCCGACCCTACTCGGAACCTCCCTGGCTGCCCTCTGAATAAAGTCCAGTCTCCTTATCATGCTGAGACTCTCGAGTCTCTGGCCAGCTGGCCCCTGCATATCACTCCTACCAGCCCCAGCCTCTCCCTGGCACACCCTCTACCAGGGGAGGGGGGTGGGTGAAAATCAGCCCTCCAACTGCCCTGCCCTCTCCTGCTCAGAACCTCTGGCACTTCCGGCTTCTCCATCCACTAGAGGTTCCTATCCAGGCCCCATACCGCACCCAGAAGAGAACTGTACCTGGGCCTCCCCCCATTGAACTTGTTGCCTCCGCCTTGTGCACCCATCTTGCTGAGCGTTTGTTGAGGGGTGGGTGTTGCATCAAGCAGTGGCTGAGCAATGAGATCCTCTTACCACCTGGCCTCTCCCCATCTCCCCATGCAGCCTCCTGGCACCCTCCCTCTTCAGCTTCCTATTTTGATCACTACCATCTGGGATCAAAACTGCTATGGGGAACCCCACTTTGGGGAAGGTTCTGGTGTAGGGAGAAGACCTGGCTACGTCTGCCCAACTACCTTTCCCTCTCGCCTACATTTCATCATCTTCAAGATGATATTATAGCCCCTACCACCCCCCACCCCCACCCCTTTGAGGTCCATGCTTAGGGCAGGCACACAGTGAATCAAAATACCAAACCAGTTACCAGGGAGACCATCCCAATTTACAACTTACGATGACCCCCATGAGTGTGAGTAAACTGTACTGTGCAGGGTTTTCAATAGCTGGGTTTAGGAAGCAGATTGTCAGACCTTTCCTGCAAGATGCCTCTGGATGAACTCAAACCTCTAGCTTTTTTGTGGGCAGCCAAGTACTTAGCCACATAGTTGTTGTTGTTAAGTACCATGGAGTCGGTTCCGACTCCTAGAGACCCTGCACAGGGTTTCTGAGGCTGTAAATCTTTATGGGAGCAGAAAGCCTCATCTTTCTCCCACGGATTCATAACCACTACGCTACCAGAGCTCCTTAGCCACATAGTAGGCACTCAATAAATGCCGCTTCCCGAAATCACACTTGGGCCCAAGGCTAGGGAGCAGAGCACTGTGAGTGGGACAGGCCTGGGAAGGGTCTACATACCCCAGGTCCTTGAGAATGTTGTTGTTAAGTGCCGTCGGGTCGGTTGTGACCCATAGCGACCTTACATAGGGTTTCCGAGGAGCAGCTGGTGAGCTTGAAGCGCCAACCTTGCAGTTCAAACAGCTTTGCAGTGAGGCGCATTAACCCACAGCACCACACCATGACTCCTTGAGAACATTGTTGTTGTTGAGTGCCGTCGAGTCGGTTCTGACCCATAGCGACCCTGTACATTAGCAGACCCTAATCCAAGACCTAGAGGGAGATTTCTTGGTCAGCGGGGAGGTGGGGAGAGAGGGAGAAAGACATCATTTTTTCTGGTGAACAAAGCAGCACATACTTATTGTAGAAAAGTCAATCACAAAAACCAAAGAAGAAAATGAAAATCCCTATTGTATACTTGTGACGCCTCCACACAGAATTCATGACGGAAAGACAAAGTCAGCTTATGGCACAGCAGGGCCTGTTTATAACAGCAGTTGGTACAGCTGATACACACATACACCCCACCCCACCCCCAACGTAAAACCACACCTGTGACAGGTACTGGAAGAGTCATCAAGGACCCCTGTCTTGGGGACACTCTTGAAAGCCAGAGATGGTTTTCTGGGGAGGGGCTACTAGTACTGACATTTGAGGTTGTTAGGTGCCGTCAGTCAGTTCTGACTTGTAACCACATTCTGTACAACAGAACCAAATGTCATCTTCACAGTGGTTGTTACATTTGAGCCCAGAATAGCAGCCACCGTTTGTCAATCCATCTCATTGAAAATCTTCCTCTTCACTTTACTAAGCATGATGTCCTTCTCCAAGGACTGGGCCCCCCTGATCACATGTCCAAAGTATGGAAGTCAAAGTTTCACCATCTTTGCTTCTAAGGAGCATTCTGGGTGTACTTCTTCCATGTCAGATCTATGTGTTCTTCTAGCGCTCCATGGTCTAGTCTGTATTCCTCACCAACATCATCATTCAAAGGCATCTGTTCTGCTTCAGCCTTTCTCTTGGGGTGACTGAAAGCACTGTGGTGAGAATTCAGTGGTCAGCTAGATGACTGTCCTTCCCAAGCAGAGGGGCTGAAACATGCATCAGCCCTGCACTGGGTATAACGCACCCACCCACAGCACCCAGGGAGTGAGGCAAGGCCCGTAGACCCCAGAGAATTGAGGTGAGGGCAGGTTGCAGTCAGAAGTCATAGAGAACAGTAATACCCAGCCAGGCTCTCCTCCCCTCCTACAATCCACATCCACGTTTCTCACAACCACCCTTTAAACTGGGATGACTACCCAATCTGCAGATAAAGAAACTGAGCTTCAGTGAGGAGTGCAAGAGTTAGAGGGAACAGGGATACTGTTTTATATACAATCCATCAATAACAGCGATAGAGAATATCGAAAGTACCATAGACTGCCAGAAAAAACAAATCTGTGTTGGAACAAGTATAGCCACAATGTTCCTTAGAAGCCAGCTTGGTCTCACATGCTTTGGACATGTTATCAGGAGTGACCAGTTCCTAAAGAAGGACATTATGCCTGGTAAAGTGGAGAGTCAGCAAAACAGAAGAAAACCCCCAAAGAGATGGATTAGCACGGTGACAGAAGCAATGGGTTCAAGTGTAACAATTGTGAGGCTGGCTCAGGACCAGTGTTTCACTCTGTTGTGCAGAGGGTCACTGAGTCAAAACCGACTCAATGGCACCTAACAATAGGTAGATAACATGGAGCATGAATAGATACATTGGCTGAATGGGTGTGGAAGAGAGGAGGTAAAGCCACAAATATGTAAAGGTTTGACAGAGGTTGTTAGTATGTGGTAGAGCATACAGGGGGTAAAGTTAGGAAAACTTCTTGGATATCACCAAACATTTGAGGGAATAAATTGCTGGGCCTGGGGACTCAGAATCAGTCTCAGGGACACCATGGTTAGTTGGCATAACATAGATCACAAAAGATAATATTCTATATCCTACTTTGGAAGAGTAGTGACTGGGATCTTAAAAGCTTGTAAGGTGCAACTATCGGTCTCTCCCTGTCTAGAGGAAGACTGATGAACACTGAAGACACTCAGAAACAATGGATTAACAAAACCACCTAACACCAGTCTCCAGGATTCTGAGACCACAAAAACTAGCTGGTGCTCTAAAAGGGATCACATTAGAAGGTCCTAGATAGAGTGGGAGAAAATGTGGAACAAAACTCAAAATTATAAAAAAGAACAGGCATACTGGTCAGCTAGAGACTAGTGAGATCCTGAGACTGTGGACACTGGTCACCCTTCAGCTCTGGAACTGAACTCAGCCCCATCACTCATTTTTCAGCCAAGCAAAAGAGAGGAATATAGGGGTGGGGGTGAGGCAGGACAGCAACACTAGTGAGGCATGCACACCATTAGAGGTCAAAAGGGTAGCATTTCCCCAAGGACGAAGTTCAGAAAGGTGGGAAAGTAGGAATGGAAACAGGAAAGCAGGGAGGAAGTGGGTAACTAGTTAATGAGAGATTGAAACCATTGAGAAGAAACAATGTGTGACTTGTTGAATGTAAAACTGATGATCCACCCTGTAAACCTGCACTCAATTCACAATAAAATGCCTTTAAAAAGTAACAGGTTCAGACAGGAAAGGAGACTACTTGGTCAGCCAAGCAGTGCTGTACACTGAGGAGCTCCTGCCCGGAGCGAGGGGTTGGGGTTAAAAGGCCAAGGTACAGGGTCAGCCAGGGTGGAGAGGACTCCCTTCAGGGATCAGGGGTGGTACTGGGGGGCTCAAGGAAGAACAGGTCGCTTGGGAGTCAGCTGAGCTCTTGGAAGCCACGCTGCTGGTGAGGCCCCTAGTAGTGGTGGTGGGGCCTGGGCACTTTGCCTTAGAAGGGCTGAGATGAGGGGTGTCTTAGACCCTTTGGCCAGTGACTCAGCCCCAAACCACAGGTCTAATCAGGGCCAAATGGTCCCTGGAGACAGAAGAGGTGAAACCAGGTCATGGACACACAGAGGGATGGAGACAAAGCAGCCAGAGGTGTGGTGGCCTTTCCCTCAGGATGGGGCGTCTAAGCCCTTCTCTCCAAAACACACTTAGTTCCCAAACCAGCCATCCACAGGTTCTACAGGCTCCTCAGAGCAGTGTCTGGCCACACGCAGCAGCGGAACCCTGGTTTTCAGAGGTCGGATGGAATCTAGGTCTTTGTCGAAGGGATCTCCCTCCCCTGAGTCTCCACATCTTGTCTCAAGAGAGTTTAAGGGAAGAGGTAAAGTCAGGAGAGGAAGAGGACAGAGCCTCCAAGTGGACTCTGGTCAGTCAGGGACTTTTCCACCATAACTCTGTGGTCAGCAGAAGCTAACACCACCACCCCCAGCCCCACGAAGGAAGGAAGGAGGACCTGGAAGCTGGGACACCCTACTGTAAGGGGTCTGTTTGGCACTGTAGGATAATGCACGGGAACACAAGGTTGATTTGAACCACAAGATTGGCAGTTCCAACCCACCTGCCACCCCTTGGAAACTATACAGGGTCACTATGAGTGGGATAACTCAAGGCATCTCACAATTCAATAAGAAGGCCCAGTTAATACTGCCCCCTGCCTCAGGTGTGTGGTATCGTCACACCACATGCTAAGGATGGATGCTACATGTTCTCCTCCAGACACCACTGCACAAATAATTCCCGACCTAGTGCCTGCCCTGGGCTCCGGAGAAGGTGGCTGTGTGTGGTGGTGGTGGTGGGGGATGGGCAGGTGGCTTCCCAGAGCCAGCTTACACCTCATTACAAATGGCGTTGCCGGGCACGCCGGTGACTTCTACATCCCCACCCACTTTATTATTAATGGCTTTCCTGAACTGTAGCAGCCCGGTGTCGCACACAATGCGTTATAAATATTTGATCCGGTATCCACAGTCAGCCATTTATCATTTATAACGGGTTACAAAAACATTATAAAACATTTACCACACGCTTATAGATCATTTTCAGTTACCCAGACGATGTGTGATAAATACATTATTAATCCTCCTCACTCCATTTATGGAAACCTGGCCTAGACCCTCTGTGCTCCCTGGCAAATGGTGAACAAGGGCGAGGGGCTGGCCTGCTGTGCCCCCACTTCCAGCCTATGCATCCCGATCTCTGGTCCACTGTGTCCTCTGTCCCCCAGTGCCCTTCCCTCCAGTCCATGGTACCCTCTAGGGTCTGGCCTGGTCCTGCAAAGGTGCATTCTGAGGGAGTGGGGACCTCACTCTGATGGCCTGTTTTCACTAAGAAGTAGAGGGACAATGGTCTTGGGAGGACCTCTCACATAAATGACTCCCCCAGCTGACCTGGGATGTACCTGGGTCAGGCTGTTCTGGGCTCCCGCCTCCCATCTGCCTCCTTGAAATGGGACCTGATGAATTTGGGGGCCCAGGTGTCTGCAGGTTCAAGAGTTGAGACTTGGGGCTGTGTGGAAGCCCTGAGGAAGCTGGTGTGTTTATCACTCTGCCCCCTGCCCCCCAGGAGGCCTTAGTACAGCACCTTCCCTGGCTACATCTCAGCCCCAGAACAAAAGCCTGAGGCAGCAATGCCCACATGATGCCAGGAACACACTGACCAGACCCCCCAGCAGTGGGGTCCACATGGGGCCCAGATGATGCCCCACAGCTGCTACCCAGGTAGGTCCTGGTCAGGTGGCATCATGGTATGAGGGTGCACAGCACAAAGAGTAGTGTCCCCTCACGGGACAAACTGGGAACCCAAATCTGGTCCCTCCACTCAGGGAGGGATGAAGGTGGACAGGCGAGTATTGATGGGACCTGCTCCATCTGGCTCCTTGTCAGCTCCAAGAACCCCTGACCTCACAGGTGTTCTTTACACAGCGCCCCCTAGTGGCCCAGACCAGGAGGTAGCCTTGGGATGACATTCTGACAACAGCAAAGTGCAGGGAGAGATGGTGTGTGCAGGGAGAGATGGTGTGTGCAGGGAGAGAAGGTGTGTGCAGGGAGAGATGGTATCTTCAGGGAGAGATGGGCATCGTGTGCAGACTCTGAACACTCCTAAGGGCACCTCTCCCCATTCTCAGAAGTGGCTTGGTTCCAAGGGAGAAGACCTGAGGCCCCAGCTGAGAAGCACTGGATGGGAACGAGGTCCTCCGTGGTCTTGAGGAGGCATGAGAGGCCACACAGACTGTGGGCATGGCCACAAGGAGGCAGGCAGCACACGGGGTTCAGAAGGGTTCATTTATAGGGTGAGGTCAAAACCAACCCTGGCCATGCTGAAGCTTGTCCCTCAGTCACTGTGGACAGGCTTGAGCCGGGTCAAATGGAGGCTGCCAGGGCAGGTGTCTGTAGCCCTCTGGCCCTGGCTCACACGACGGCTTCCATGTGCAGAACCCTGAGGGCCTCAGAGATCTGGCTGCTGGTGTCCACCTGGCCGTACATGCCCACAAGGAAAGCCCGGTGCAGCAACACAGCGGCGTGCTCTGTGGACGAGATGGCCCTGGAGGGTCAGGGGCTACGAGGCAGGAGCTGTAGGGGTACAGGATCAGGGGACGGGCAGATGGGCGGGGCTCACCTTGGCAGAGCAGAGTATATTCAGGCAGGCTCTTGAGGGCTGTCTGCACCACCTCAAAATCCCGGCTGCCCAGACAGTACATGAAGGTGGGCAGGAAGTCAGCTGCAATGCTACAGAGGAGGCCAGGTGGGTACCTCTGCCCCTGGAGGTGGAGACCACCTGAGGAGCCCTGGAGGGGCCTGGCAGGCAGCAGGCATGCACACTCACCTGGGGTTGTTCTGGATGGAGCGCAGGGCCAGGCTAAAGGCCAGGCTGCGGCAGGACTCCTCAGCCGAGCTCATCAGCCTCTGCAGGTTGGTCTGGGCAGGTGGTAGGAGGGGAGTTGTTACTGGGCAGCCCCTCTTGTCCAGGGCTCACACCTCCCACCCTAGCCCGTGGACCACCCACTCACTGAGAAGAAGCCCAGGATTTCTGGCCTCCGCCAGGACATCTCCTCGATGTCACTCAGCACCTCCAGCAGGTCTGAGTGGGTAGAGACAGGGCAGAGACAGGCTTGAGCTGTTGGAGCCCGAGCCCAGGGACCCTCTGGGTTCTTCCTCATGCTGCTTGAGACCCAAGGCTCCCCGAGTGCCCTCCCCAGGCAGCCCTCAGCCGACCCGGGGCCATCCCCAGGCATCGGCAGCAGAGTGTCTCCTCCAAGAGCCCCACCCAGTCACCCATAGCCCTTTCTGGAAGGTCCCTACTTACCCTCAACAGTCTGGCCCCGGGACAGCCTCTTCATGTAAGGTACCATGTCTACTGCGGTCAGAGGGGTGAAGAGGGAGACACTGACCAGAGGCAGGGAGCCGGCAGGGCTCTCATCTGGAACAGAGGGCAATGCTGCTGAAGACTGGAGACACCCGGACACAGTGGGGCTCGGGGAACAGTCACCACTGAGGAGCTCAGCAGGGCACAGCAGGCTCGGGTTACCCTGGATCCACCTGTCTCACTGCTTCCACCAGCACCAGCACCACGTCTGTCTCCTCCCCCAGTGCCGCCCAGCCATGATGAACCTTCATGCAGCAGCCGTGGGGCAGTACTAGAGGGGAGTCTAGGGCTCTCCTGAACTTGGTCACTCAAAATTGCCAGTGTATGACAACAGATTCCCAACTGCCCCCGGGAGACAGGCCCAAGACCTGGGGCGAGCACCAACCCTGGAGCCAGCTGGGGGTGCTGCCACAGGAGACTTGGCTTGTCCTTCTTGAAGGTTCAAAGGGGTGGGCTTTAGGATGACCATGTGACCCAATTCAGACTCACCCTCTCGTTCCTCATCCAGGGCCTGGTCGGCTATGCTGCTACCACTGGGCAGGCTCAGCCCTGCCAGGAGGGTCTTGAGCATCACCAGGTCACTGTTGTCGAAGGACAGGTCACTGGGAAGGAAAGTGCATTGGGGTCACAATGGGAGGACCCCAGGGACAGGGGTGGGGTGCCCCCACAAACAAATTGACAGGGAAGGGGCAAGAACAGATGAAGATGAACCAAGAGAAGTAGAATATGAGGAGGGAGATAAGGCTAGAGGGGGCCTTAAATATCAGGGAGGGGACGTTGGAGCCTAAGAGCCCCCGTGGATCTCTGGGGAAGTTGCCTCGAAGGGCACTGTGGTTGCATCTCCCAGGCTGAGCAGGTGCGGGGCTCAGGGGTGGGGAACCTTCAGGACATAGTTCCCCTCAGGGATGGGCACTCACTGGAGCGCAACAGCATGCTTCTGCAGGAAGGCCACAGCAGCTGGTGCATTGCAGGTGATGTACTTGTGGACCAACTGTACAAACTTGCTGATGAAGGGGGCCAGTTGGCGTGAGGACTTGCGGTAGTTCTGGAGAGGAGTCAGGGGACATGTCGCAGGGATCCTGCACCTGAGCACTGCCCACCAGCCCCCAAGTCTTACTCCACAGCACCCACCAAGAAGAATCCTGTACCCTGGGGCCTTGTCTCCCAGGCTCAGCCCAGTCCAGCAGTACCCACCTAGAGGGACTCTGCCCATGAGTTCCACCCCCCAGCTCCCCCAGTCCAGGCCTGGGGCACCCACATGGAGGGACTCTGTGTGCCTCCCCAGCCTCAATCCTTGGCACCCACAAGGCAGGACCCTGTGTTTGAGCACACACATCCCACCCCCAGCCTCACCCAGCAGTACCCACCAGGAGCAGGCGCACGAAGGAGAGCAAGCAGTCCCACAGCGCCCCCTGGTGCTCGCTGCGGAAGACCTGTGGCTGCAGCAGCTCCAACACGCCCAGCACGTGCAGGAAGAAGGTCAGGTGGTTCTGCTGGCGGAACTCCTGGAAATTGAGGTGGGTGCGCCCGTGCAGCAGGGCGGCCAACATAGGCAGGTGCCTGCAGATGGCCAGAGCGCGGGGTTCAGTACTGTCCAGAGTCCTGGCCTCACAAGACTGTCAGCTTGGGGATGACATGCCCATGTGCCAGCTCAGGTCACCAAGTCAGTCCTAATGCACACCATGTGGGCGAGTAGCACTCTGGTTTGGACTGAGACCTTGGGAACCTCCTGGGGCCAGTCTGAGCCCCCTACCCCTTCATAGCAGTCCACGTACCTCAGCAACAGGATGGGGTGGGCCACTGCCAGCTTCCGGCACACCATGTTGGCATCAGCCACACGGCTCTCAGATGCTCGAGAGTCACTGGTATCAGCCAGGAGGGTGATGAAGCGGTGGGTGAGACTATCCAGCTGTGAGGGAGGGGTCAAAGACCTGCAGGAGAGGCCCATGGGCCTGCCCCTACACAGGCCAGCCCACCCCATGCCAACTGCTTCCAGGAGCAAGTAAGGGTTAAAGTAGAAGAGGTGACGGGCCTGTCCCCAGCACAGGTCAGAGAGGACAGACAAAAGCATCCCCTAGGTTCTGACTCAGTGACTGTAGGACAGAGCAGGACCACCCACAGGCCTTCCAAAGCTGTCATCTTTAGGGAAGCTTTCTCCTGCAGAGCAGCTGGTGGGTGTGGACTGCTGACCTCCCGGTTAGCAGCAGAGTGCTTTAACTTCTGCATATCAGGGCCCCAGACAGTCTCAAAAAAGCAAAGTTGGAAGCCCACTGCTCTAGGAAACAATCCTGTAGGCGGTCTGGGATACACATTTTCTACAGAAGTCGGAACTACTGAAACCTCTCAACATGAGTTACCAAAAAGAGAAAAGGGTTCAACGAGTCAAAGCAGGATCATGTGAAGGAGCATCGTGTAGGCAGTGAGTGGAACTACTGCTGAGAGTTACAAGAAAGAAAGCTGAGCAAAGAAAAGGCTGGGGCTGTCTATCAAGGGGGGTGGGTTTCAAGTGTGCTGCTCAGTCTCCAGTTTTGAGGTTCGAGCTGTGACATATGTCCAAATTCTGTCCTTTTTACCAAACTCTATGTTTGCAGCCCCGTGGGGGCCAGGCAGGTCCCTCTGACCCAGCCAACCTATGCACACCGCCCTACCACATGGCTTTATGTGGGACAGGTACCGGCTGTGACCCTGGCATCAGCCACCTCAGCACTGAGATGGAACGATGTTCTGACGTTACGGTGCCAACCCCAACAGCAGACACAGGATAATGCATGTGTTGGAGAGTTCTAAAACAACACACAATCCCAGCAACAGGGACAAATCAGGTCAGTGACCACCTGGGGTGGGGCGGGTGACCAACCATTAGGACACGTGTGGGGGTGGACAGCATGTATGCCTGTGCCTACGCTTGTGGGATCATACCCTCACTCCTCCACAGCCCTAGAGGAGTAAGAGCAAGGGGTGGGGAGGGGGCAGCAGGGCTCCACATTCCGGGGGTTTCTTCATCTGAGAAAATCAGCAGCATGTTCCCTAGTCTGGGATGTTCCCTCAGAAGAAGAGGAGGGCGGGTACAACCTGGCAGTTGGTGGGGAGGTCAACCACTGCCACCTGCATTCCCGAAGGTAATGGGCCTCCATCACCTGTACCGCCTGGTACTCACCCTGCAGACGCTGCTGCCTGGACTGCCCTGGCCGTGCAATAGGACCTGGGGCACGGGCCCCCACAGCTCCGGCCGCTGCAGGTAGATCTGCAGGAGCAGCTCCCGGCAGCGCTTGCCCAGCATGCTGCAAGGGACAGAGCTGGGTTGGCAGAGTGGACAGGCCAGAGCGAGGGTCCACAGTGACCAGTGGGACAGGGCGCTGCCTGTGCTAATGGGCCTAGGGTTACTTAATCACACAGGGGGATCCAGCAGACCACCTAGGAGCCCGCTGTGCTAAGGCTCACCTCTCCTGACTGCTGAACATGGACTGTCAGGTGCCCCTCTTCTGCCCCGCCCCCTAGTCAGGTAACCCTTACCTGTCCCCTCAGTCAGGTACTCCTCACCCATCCTGAGTCAGGTGTCCTGCACCTGTTCCCCCACCCCCAGTTAGGTGCCCCTCATGTGTCCCCTCAGTCAGGTACCTCCCAACTGTATCTCCCCAGTCAGGTGCCCCTCACCTGTCCCCCCCACCAGGTGCCGCTCACCTGTCCCCCCACTGCTGGATACGGGCTGTCAGGTGCTCCGTCACCTTCTGGATGCTCCCGTGGTCTCCGCGGCAGCAGCTGAGCAGCAGGGGCAGCCGGCTCTGGATGAGACTGCAAGAGGCCTCAATCCCTTCGAGACCCCGAGTCTCCGGCTCGGCCAGGATCAGTTCCACCAGGCTGATGAGCTCTGGGGCCCGGACCCGCAGCACCAGCTCCTCTCGCCTCTTCTGTCGGCATAACAGCCAGTCAGCCCGGCATGCTCCAGACCCACACTCACAGCGAGACACAGCCACTGTGCACACAGCTCCTGAAGTCTCCCCCCATTCACCTGAGGGGTACGTTGGTCCCGACCCTGCCAGATGCGTGGCATGTGGATGCAGGCCCAGAGAAAATCCAAGGAGGCGGAGGGATCAAGCCTGGGAAGACAAAGTCTGGTGGTCTTGGGGAGTCTGTGGCACCAGGACAGCCAGAGTAGTGGGGTGAAGCGTCCTGGACAGAGGCCCTGGGGACCGGTGGCCACCTATGAGTGCAGGCTAACTGGGGTGGTGAAGGAGCTCCTATGGGGAGCAGGTGAGTTGATTCAGGTGGCCCATGGAACAGCATATCCGTCCGCCGTGTGGCTGTCCCAGCCTGGGACACATACAGCACGGGGTGGGGGAAGCTGGCTGAGGGCCGTGGTGGGCAGTCTCACCTGTGCTCACGGCTTTTGCCCAGCAGGAAATGGATGCAGCGGTGCAAGGTGGCCCAGTTGGACTGATGTGTGAGCAGTGCTAGGAGGTAGGGCCGGAAAGATGGCACCTGGGGGCCAGCATGGCCTTTGCCCTAGGGAGAGAGAGTGGCTCTGGTCCACAAGCTCTGGCTCCATCTTCCTTGGGAAGCTGGGCTCCCCATGTCCTCCCACAGTTCCCTCAGCCCCGGTGTCTGTGGGAGGCCTTGCCCCTTCAGGAGGGTGTCGGGCCCAGGGCAACACCAGCAGGGCCCTGGCCTGTCCTATGCACTGCTGACCACGCCCCCTCAGCCCCCTGAATCAGTGTGTGCTGCTCTACCCACCTTGCTCCTGGAGAACAACAACCTCTGCTGCAGCTCGGGGCAGCTGCCAATCACCTCCGGGTCCAGCATTTCCAGCCAATCGACCAGCAGCCCTGAGCAGGGCCCCAGACACGCTGCCTCTGTGCTGTGGGGAGCAGCAAGGTCAGAGATCAGCCATCACCTGTCCCCTGCCCTCACCGTGTGTTCAGTCCCCTTGCAGCCTCACCTGCAGCCATCATCTGGCTCTTCCTCCTCCAACAGCAGGGTGCTCACCACGGACACTGGCCTCGTGGTGGTGCAAGCAGACGCCAGGTCCATGGGGGCAGTAAAGAGCAGAGCCAGCAGCTCCTCCAGGTGGGGGGACCGCACCTCAATCAGGCCCCGCAGGACTGTGGGGAAGAATGCTTGTCATACACTGTCCGCCTTAGTCCTGGCGCCCACGGCAGATGTGGCCGGTGGATATGAGACTCTGAGGGAGCTGACACCGTGCCTACCTTTGCCTACCAGCTCCGGCTCTAAACTGCACCACTCCCCAGACCTGAGGGCAGAAGTGACGGCCCGCACTGTGGGGGTAACTGCTTCCAGGTCCTGCCGGCAGGCCAGGGTCTCCGCCAGGTGCAGGAATCCACTACGGACTATAAGAGGACATCCATGTAAGGGTCTCCTTCCTACCAGGCCCCCTGTAGAGGACTCGCCAGCTGAGACTGGAATCCGTCAGCCACACCGTACACCCACTAACCATCGCTGCCCCTGCGCCGGGCGGAGTACTGGGTGGTGAGCAGTCGGAGCTGAGCCAGCAGGGGCCCGGGCTCCACGGTGTGGCCCTCCAGCCACTGTAGCATCTGCGTCATCACTTGGAGCAGCAGCGAGGAGAAGCTGGCGTCCTGGGGCACACTGCGCTGTGGGGTGGGGGTGGGGTGGGGTGCGCAACACTGTCAGCCTCTGCCTCCTGACCACTCAGGCAAAAGCCCAGCACCTAGTGCCTGTGGAGGGGGCGCCAAGGTACTGCAGGCTCTCCCTAATAGCAGCAACTAATCACACAGTTCACCCCCGCATGCACACACGCACACACATTCATGTGCAACATCCTCAGCCCACCTGGTCCTGTCTGGAGATGGCATCTCCACTCACTGCATACCTGGCACTGGTGGAGCTGGCGCAACAGTGGGCAGGCAAGGAAGTGGCTGCGGTGCATGGCCATCACCAGGGCGCCCCCGTGTGGTGAGTTCAGCAAGGTGGCCAGGGCTTGCAGGACACGGACTGCGGTGCCTGCCACAGCGGGGGCGCCCTGACGCACTTGGGCCAGCTCTTGGCCCAGAGCCAGCTGCAGAGCCAGCGAGAGAGGGCGGGGGTTGGTGTTCTGCCATCGGGGGTCGGGGCTCAGCGGGAAGATCTGGAATAGTGCAGAACAGATGGCCAGTGGGGAGATGGGTGTCTCATCTGCGACACGCCACTCACAAGTTAGCCCGTGAGCTATGCCACAGAGCGGTGAGGATCCAGACCTGGAGGATACAGGGGCCCAGAGCTGGCCCCACCCTGGAGGCTTCCCTACTCAGGGCAGGTGGGTCAACAGTGTCCTGTGAGCCTCAAAACCCCGCAAACCTCGGTGCTTCCATTTACAAAATGGGGTTCAAGAGAGCAAGAGGGCAGTTTCCCTGCCCTGACAAACATGGGCCTGTGGCCTCCAAGAAATCCACTCGGGGGCATGTCTGCAAGGAGAATGGGGTAGTATGCGTGTGGAGATACAGACGCATGTGGTGACGTGCTGTGTAGGGGGTACAGACACGTGTGGAGACATGCTCTGTGGAGGGATGCAGACACACGTGTGGCGACATGATGGGAGTGTAGACACGTGTATGGAGATGAGCTCTGTGGGGGGAATGCAGACACATGTGGAAATGTGACAGGGTGGAGACATGCATGTGGAGACATGCTCTATGGGATGATGTAGACACGTCTGGAGACTCTATGGGGTACAGACATGCGTATGGAGATGTGCTCTGTGAAGTGATGTAGACACATGTGGAGACGTAATATGTAGGAGTGTAGGCGTGTGTGATGGTGTGCAGACACACATGTGAAGACGTGCTCTATGGGGGGGATGCGGACACGTGTGGAGACGTAATGGAGTGCAGACACATGTGTGGAGACGGGTTCTGTGGGGGGGATGCGGACATGTGTGGAGATATGATGGGGGTGCAGACATGCGAGTGGAGACGTGCTCTGTGGGGCGATGTAGACGCACATGTGGAGACATGATGTGTAGGAGTGCAGATGTGTGTAAAGATATGTAGACACATGTGGACACGTGCTCTGTGGGAGGATGCATGTACAAGGGTGGCACGTGTACAGAGACCACTTCTCATGTGGTCCCACTTCCAGAACCTTAGTGTCTGGAGACAGAGAAAGATGGTAGCTGCCGGCCCATTTCTGGAGTGATAAACTCGTTCTAAGCTTAGACTGTGATGATGGGAGACCAAGCCCATGAATGAACAGCATCATGGCGGATAGAAAGGTGTGTGAGGAAGGAGGGTGGAGGAGCAAGCGTGCCTGAGGCCCTCACACAGCAGCAGTGGGTGTCTGTGAGTGCCTCCCCAGGAGCACTGAGCCCACTGAGTCAGGAGACCGCTCATTTCAGAGAAGGGGAAACCAAGGCACCGCAAGGTCACATGACCCCTAATCTAGTGGTCTACCTCTAGTCTGGAAGGGAAAGGGGATGCAGAGTTGTGGCAGCCCCCTCATACCTGCAGGAACAAGCAGGCCAGGTCGTCCTCGGGCCCAACGGGCCGGACCTGGGTGCCTGCCCGAATCCTCCCCTGGCCAGCCAGGGGCTCAGGGCTGCTTTTTGGTTTGGGGGCATCCGTGCTGTCTGCAAAGAAGAGGAACAGTTGTCAGTGGATGACACTTCCTGCTGCCTCCTAAGGGGTCTGCCTCAAGGCCAATGAGCAGGGTGGACTTGACATGGAGTTGGAGCCCTACCTCGCCGGGGGGGCAAGGAGGCTGTGAGCAGGGAGTGGAAGGTTTGGCCCCCAGAGGCTCCTCTCTCGTGCTGGACCTCGACCAAATGGGCCATGTAATCTGCAGGACAGAGGAGAGTACCACACGTGAGGGCTGAACCAGGGATGCCCCCACACCCGTGTCTGCACAGGGGGCATGTGCCCCTCTCCTGAGTCTGACCCGGAGACACCCACTCCCACGTCTCAGCACGGGTTGTGCCCCTCTCCTGTGTACAGGGTGACCACACCCCAGAAGTCCTCAGAGAGCCTGAGGCCTAGCACCCGCGGGCCCCTTTGAAGGCCTAATGAGGACTTCTGCCCCCCCCCAGTCCTCACTCTTGTCCATGATGTTCTGCTCCAGGGTCTGGGGATCATGGGCCACGGCCTGGTCCAGGTACTGCAGCAGCTTGCTCATGCTGGAAACGGGGATGCCGAAGGACTGCACGAACAGCAGCAGCTGCTGGGGTTCTAAGTCCTGCAGGGCTGCATGAGAGCTGTCTGCACCACTGCAGCTCAGAGGCACACACCGACGGCACCCGTGACCGCCCACAGGGTCAGGGACACACACCGACAGCACCCGTGACCGCCCACAGGGTCAGAGGCACACACCGACAGCACCCGTGACTGCCCACAGGGTCAGAGGCACATACCAACGGTACCCGTGACCGCCCACAGGGCCAGAGGCACACACCGACGGCACCCGTGACCGCCCACAGGGTCAGAGGCACATACCAACGGCACCTGTGACCGCCCACAGGGCCAGAGACACCTGCCTCCCACTCCTACCTGCCCCACTCTGTGAGCCCCCCAACCACTGACACTCCACCAGGTGTGGCACTGCCTTACCTGCATCCACCAGGCGCGGCACCTCAGAGCGGATCATGCGCAGCTTCAGCCAGTCAGGCAGCAGCAGGGCCTCTTCCGACGTGTCCACCAGGAAGGCAGTGGGCAGTGGCTTCTTTTCCGGAAACCAGATGTCTAACAGAGCCCGGAACTCGCTGTCACCAGCTTCAGGAGATACCAAACAGATGAGGGCCAGGAGCTCGAGGCCAGGCCAGCACCCAAGCTCAAATCCAGAGTGGGTCACAGCAGGACCCTACAGTTCTGAGGTAAGGGGAGCACCCCTAGAGGCAGCAGCCTCCCCAAGAAGGAGAGCGCTCCCAGTCAGTGGAGCCCCACCCCCGCCCATGGGGCATGCCCTGTTGCCCTGCTTAGCTGGAGCTGACCATGATGAAGCCCAGACACTCACTGCGGGGCGGCCCCAGTGTCAGCAGAATCACCATGGCATGCACCACCAAGATGTGCATGGTGGCTGTCTCCCCACTGCTCCAGCGCAGGAACACCTGGTCTTGGGACTCCGACTAGCGGTTGGTAGGAAGAAGAAACAAGTTAATAAGCCGCCCATTCCCACCCAGCCAGCCCTACCCACACCGCCACCTGCCACGCCCAGACCACAGCCCCGCCCCCAGTTGTAGCCCCCTGCAGGCCACATCCCCATTGGTAGGCGCACCCCCTGCGGCGGCTCACCCAGCTGTAGCCCTCCTCGCCCTCCTTGCTCTTGCGCATGCGCTGAACATAGCGCGAGAAGATGGAGAGCAAAGCCACCAACACAGTGTCGGACTCGGCGCTGCGGGCCAGCTTGGAGAAGAGGTGTGCCATGATGGTGGAGCGCTCCACAACGAGCCGGGCAACGTCCTGCGGTGGTGAGGGGGGATGCCTGGATGTGAGGGCGTGCCAGGCAGGATGTGTGGGGCTTCCGGGGACTCTGCCCCCACCCTGAGTCTAAGCAAGGCTCAGAGGATAGTGGGCAGGGGCCACAGGGTCATACCACCCTGCTCACCAAAGATGCCAGCACCTCGGGGTCTCAGAAAGCACGCCCATTCCCGCAGTGACAGAGGGGACCACCACTCACCAGAGCCAAGTCATTGTGTTGGCCCTGCTCCTCCACCGGTGTGTGCTGGGACAGGTACACCAGGTAGGCGGTGATGGTCTGCGGGTCTGTCTCCATGTGGATGGCCTGAGGGGGCGGGCATGCTAAGTTGGCCTTGCAGACGCCCTGCTGCCCCCCAGGATCTGGGTCCTCTGGTGTCCCTGGGCCCAGGCCCCCCACCTGCTGTAGTGCCAATGCAGTGGTGCCCCTGACACTGTGGAACAAAGGCAGGCGGGGCAAGTCTCGGAGCAGCCACTGGTAACCCTGTAGCATCTCAGGCTCCGCATCCTCATCTGCCGGCAGCTCCTTCTCCTCCCCGTCCCGCAGACTGCCCTCCAAGAGCACCAGCGACAGGCCCTGCGGGGACACAGGGTGGGTCCACTGCATGCCAACCCCACCAACCCATCCCTGGGGGAGTAGAGCCACACCACACCTATTGGCACTGCCAGAGGAGAAGGCAGAGAGAGTAAGTCTCCCTCATGTTCCCCACAGGGACAGATCACCTCACAGGAGGATTAGTCCCTAGGAGAGCATGGCTGGTAAACACAGGAGATCCTCCTGTTTGAGGGTACTTGGTACAGACTGTTTTGCACACACTGAAGGTGGGTGGAACCTGCTCTAGCGAGTCTGTCGGTGTCCTTTTTACAATTGTGTCTATGTCCCTCTTGGTCACTTGCACACAAGATCTCAGCCTTTTTCATCATGCAGATGAACACTTCATACACGACAGTCTAACATCAACAGCGCTCACTGTGCGCTGAGAAACCAGAGGGTTGCGGTGCTCTGGAATCACACCCGCACTGTTTCCTGTGCTCAGTTTAGACGCAGCAGTAGTGAGGAAGTGTGAGAGAGCTCACACATGCAAAGACCACCCTGGCTCTCCTGCCCACCCGGTCACTGCTCACCTTCATGGCCAGCACCCTCGAGGCCACCTGGGAGGAGCTGAGCCTCCGCAGGAAGTAGTCCAGCACCTCGCACGTGGTCTGCTCATCTGCCTTGGGGCCCAGCAGCAGGTCCTGCAGGCGGCCCAGCAGTTGCCGCTGCTTCTGCTGTCTCTGTAAGGGCAGGTGGTCATCAGAAGGCTACCAGGAGGGCTGGGGGGATGCCAGGGCATGTAAGGACACCGGGGCTCCCAGATGCCAACCTGCCGCTTCCGGGCCTTGTGCTCCTTGCTCTTGCTGTCCTCCTCCTCATCCCCAGCGGTGGTAGTAGCGGCAGTGGCATCATGCAGCAGGAACTCACAAAGACACTGCACCGGCAGCACGTCCAGGGAGCCCTCGCTGGACTGCACCAGGTCGGCCAGCCAGGGCATAGACTGCGAGGAGGCCTGGGGTGGATGGTGCCAGCCGCTCAGGTGCTGCTCCCAGAGCATCAGCCACACCCACGTGTCCCCCACCACTGCCACCACCGCCGGGCCTGGGCTCACCTGCCTCTGGATGATGTTGAGCAGGAAGTCAGGATTGCGGCTACGACATAGCAGGTGACCAAGCCGCAGGGACTGGTTGAGGGCTTTCACCTGCTCCAGGATGAAGGCAGGGGGCCTCCTGGGGGGCCCTCTGGAAGCCAGAGAACAGGAGCCTGAGTCGCCCATACAAGATGACCCAAGGACAAATGATGAGACTGCAGCTCCCGCCCCCCACTCAGCTCTGCCTGAGGCCGTACTGGGGGTCGAGGCTAGTGAGTTGGGACAGGAGGAGGCTACTGCTCTCGGTGATGGTCTGCTTGGTGGACGCGGCTGCCAGGTGCCCCTCGAAGGCCAGGATCTCCTGCTTCTCACGCTGGGAGATCTGCAGCTCCCTGCTGATCACCTCAGAGCGGCTCTCTTCATCCGTCAGGGTGCATGGCGGGTACGAGTAGTTGCTGGACACAAGGGAGGCCTGGTCACCCATGCTCAACAGTGCCAAGGCCAGATGTCAGCTCAGCCAGAGTCATTCTCAGGTGCCACAGTCACCCCAGCGTCAGCATGGAAGGGCAACCCACCCTCACCACAGTGCTTATGCTGCTCCCAGCTCACCCCCTCCTTCCTCAGTACCCCAGGGACCTCTGGGTAGCACGCACTGCTCCTTGGTCCCCTCGTCTCCCAGGAGGGCATCCAGTCTCTACTCTGTGTGCACTTCCCACTACCTGGTGCCTCCTACCTCAGGTCACCTGCTAGAGCCCCCTTACTGGCCCTAGCTCCCTTGTTGTCAAAGGAAAGGCCCCTCACTTTGTCATCACCATCTCCATGAGCATCTTCAGGGTGGGATACTCTTCCCAGGCGGCCAGACCTAGGAGCAGGGAGAGCGGAGCATGCTCAGTGGGGCCAGGCTCCAGGTCCTGACAAACAGGAAGACGTGCTGATGCCCACCACCTCAGCACACCCAGAGCTGTGTGAGGAGCCACTCACCGATGTTTTCAGGGTTGAAGGCAGCCACGACCAGAAGGAGTGGCCAGGCCTTCCAGTAGAGAGTGGAGATGGCCAGGTTCGGAGGCTGATACCTGAAAGGCAACCACATTGACAGCTGAGGGAGCAGCCAGGCAGACAGGCCCTCAGCAGGACTATCAGGATGCCACCATGTGACTGACCCTGCAATCCCCTCCTGGTGTGTTCTTGGGAGAAATTAAAGCACAACGACACCACACAGGCACAGGACTCTTTACTCGGCACGATTCACAGCAGCCAAAGTGTGGCTCTGTAGGACAAAGCACTGGACCGCAAGGTCGGTTTGACCCACAAGACTGGCAGTTCAAACTCACTAGCTGCTCCTTGGAAACCTTATACAGGGTCACTATGAGTCAGAATTGATTCGATGGCACTTAACAACAACATGCAGTGGATGACGTCCATCAATAGACAGACAAGCAGAGAAACAAAATGTGCTGTTCTCATACAACGTGGACTACTAAAAATCAGACCTGCAGCCGTCCACTCCAACTCACAGTAACCCTACTGTAGGACAGAGAACTCCATAGGATTCATACTGCCATCTTTACAGAAGCATACTGCCTCATTGTCCTCGCTAGAGGGGGCTAGTAGTGGGCTTGAACTGACAACCTTCTGGTTAGCAGATGAGTGTCTAATCATTGTGCCACGAGAACACCTTGGTATAAACTCAACGCCACCGCTGCTTCAGGGTTTCTTTTAGAAGAAACAAAACTGGCCTAATATACTAAGAAAACCGAGTCACACCGTTCGCTGGTGGTATGGCATGTACATGGAAATGAGGTCTCAATAAAGCCCAGCATGGTGAGTGTAAACTCACAAGGGACAAGAGAACCAGGAGGCGGCGCGGGGAACAGTGAACATGGGGCACCCCAGAGGGAGCCTCACCCGGGAGGGAGCTGAATGTTCTCTGGGTGGTGGTAGGTGCACAGGTTCAGGACAGCATCGATCAGTTGAATCCTCTCCACCTTCAGCACTTCTACATCTAGAACCAGAGAGCCACAGCCACACTGCAGAGCCTGCGCCAACACCGTCCTCACCTGGGGACACAGGCCTTGGCAGGGACACGAGGGACAGACTGGCAGGCAGGGCCTCACCATCAGCTTGCACAGCGGCAGCACGCTTCACCAGGTGGTCAGCAAGCTCCATGGCATCAGCAGGGCCAAGCGGCAGCTCACGGGACAGACCAATCACCAGGATGCGCATGAGTGTGTCCTCCAGGATGGGCACCTCCGAGCAGAGGCGCAGGAAGAAGCTGGGTGCGGGGAGGGCAGGTGGGCATGGGACCGGAGACAGGATGGGAAAGGGCCACCGCACTCGGGCAGAATTGTGGGGGGATGTCTGGTGTTGGGGGTGGGAAGCCCTGGGAGGGGAGGCAGCTCTAGACACCACAGGGCTGGTGGGTACTGACAGAGGGGCCCCGTACCCCCATGCCCACGGTGGCATAGGCACTCACTTGCGGTCGCTCTCCGGAGGCCAGTTGTCCCACTTGTAGTAGGTCTCAGGCTGCTCTGTGAAGAGCACCTTGTGGAGACTGGAGAAATAGGGAAGGAGTAGTAGTCAGAAGGCAGCTGGAGAGGCTGGGGGCTGCCCACCAATCACCCTGAAAAGGCCTTGGCCTCGCAAACCCCCTCAAGCACTGTAGATAAGGTCCCGCAGATGGCCCGCCCACTGGGGGAGAGTGTGCAGGTCTGTAGACAGGACGTCCAAGGGACGCACCAGTGCACGTAGTCCTTGGAGCCTAGCTTGCTGATAGAGGGCACCACAGTGTGCAGCCACCACACGGCATCCCGCTGGATGGCAGCCGTCTGGCTCTGGAAAGCTCGCAGCAGCTCCAAGTCTGAAATGGACAAGTGGGGATTAAGCAGGGCCGGCAGGGGCGGTCACTCACTGCCTTTGAGTCCAGCTCAGGGCCAGGTGATTGAGTCCTCAAATCTCAGCTCCTCTTTGGTCCACACTCCCAGCGGGATCGACGATGAAGCTGACCAGGCCAAGAGACTTACAGGAACAGCAAGTGGGGCGTTTGGGATACTTACTCCTCTTCTCGCCTTTGTCCCAAGCGATGCCAGCTTCCTTCACCTGGGCAGTGATCCCCAGCATCATGGACACGGCCAGCAGGTCTGTCACGTGGATCACAAAGCGTTCCTGCGGGTTGGATGGGGTAGGCATGGGGCCCACTAAGGGGCTGGGGCAGGAGGGCCCAGATCCAGCCGGCACAGACCACCCGCTGCTAAAACACGTGAGCACACCCTGTACCCGCCAGCCCCTTACTCCTGCTCACATTGCACACCAGTCCCAAGTCCCAAGGTAGGTACAGACACGGCCGATCAGACGCCAAGGACGACCATGGAGCTATGCTCTGTGTCCTAGCCTCACGGACTGGTGCACACCATGAAGATAAGCTGTGCAGCTAGTTGATGCGTGGGGAGCCAGCCCCAGCCCACGGCGCTGACCTTGAACTCCATGTCCAGGTGTGGCGGCTCCTTGCGCTCCTGCATGAGGCCCAGGCACAGCACCTGGAAGTTGATCTCGTGCTTGGTCTGCTTAATGATCTCACGCAGCAGGGCCCTCGAGGCCCGCAGATAGTCGTCCTTGTTGGTCAGCAAGTCCTGGAACACCATGGCCAGGAACTGGGCAGAGAGAGGCCACTCAGGGCTGCTGCCCCACCGAGGCTTGGCCATTACGCCCCCACCTCTGCCTCCAGCTTCCCGAGAATGCTGCAGGCAGGTCCCAGGGAATGGCCACGCCAGCCTTCGCTCAGGCAGGCTCTCTGAGAGCAGACCCATCACCTAATTATTCACCCACCTGGCAGATGGCACGTGGGCATTCACCCCATGAGACGAGGAGATGGGTTAGCTAACAGACACGGTGGGGGCTATATGCCTGGCAGTTCCAACAAGGGGTACACTGCCTCTGCTGCCTCAAAGCAAACAGTTCAAACCTTGAGGGAATCACCACGACCCTAAGACACTGGGCACAGAGACAGCCACCTGCCTGACCTACAGACCACAGCTTGGGTCCCACTCCTGGGCGTCCAGGGAAGCCCAGTCACGCGCAAGGCAGGTCCACGCACCTTGGGCGCCAGCTCGGCGCTGTGCTGTAGCACGGTGTACAGGATCTGCATGTTGTTGGGGTTCCGCGCGTTAGACAGCTCGTTGAAGACCACAAACTTGATGGTGGTGCCCAGGTTGTCTTTGTGGGCATTCAACAGCTCCCTAGGGATGGACAAATCAGGCTCACTAGGCTGCCCTTTGCTATGGCCCAAGCTGCACCTCAGAGCTGGGAAGTGGCATCTGGGGAGCCCCGTCCCCCCGAAGCACCTGACACAGAGCATGTAGTGGTTGAGCAGCACTTTGGGTTTGAGGCGGATCTTGATTAGATGGGAGATGACGTCCACGTCCTCGGCGCCATGAGTGCAGCAGTTCATGCACACAGCCATCAGCAAGTCTTGGGCTGGCCTGGTCAGCTGTGGGGGTGGACGAGCCACTCAGCCCTGGCCTGCGGGACCTCCATCCCTACCTACCCCCAAGGTGCTCACCTTGGGGTTCTGCAGCCACATCTCCAGCTTTTGCACCGTCATCAGCCGCACCTCCTTGTAGCCACAGGTGGAGGTGAGCAGCCGCAGTAGGTTCCTGGAGACGTTGTCGATGGGCTGGCGCCGGGTGAGTTGGTCCCGCAGTACATCCAGCACATACTCCTCCACACTCTCGGTGAGGTCGTCATACCTGACGGGGAAGCCATTTCATCTTGTGGGACCACCCTGCCTGCTGCCCGGCCCGCCCCCCAGCCAGCGGATGGTGCACAGACACCAACCTGGGCATGAGCTGACCCTCCTGCTCGGGACTCAGCTTCTCTTCCGCTATCAGCAGCTCAGTCTGGCTGTCCTCTTCCTCGGTGAGGGAGGGGTGTGGGCTGCTCCCTGGACACACGGCCAGAGCATACTCATTCACGCCACATCCCACATCCATGTCCCTGTCCCGTGAGCACCCCTCACACACACCGGGCCCGGGAGTAACATACCCATAGCCCTTCCCCCTAATCCCTGGTCCCCTCACCAGCACTGAGGTCCCCTCCGCCGCGACCTGCCTCCCCCTGCAGCAGCACGCTCTTGGGGGGCATCTTGGTGTTGAAGGCTGTCTGGATGTTGTCCACAAAGGTCTTGCAGTGTGGGCTGTCCACCCAGATGCGCTCACCCAGGGAGTCCTCAATGTACACCTGTGGGGACAGAGCTCGCTGGCTGAGCCTGCACATTCCCTTCTCTTGACTCAAGTGTACTGGACACACCCCTACACATGCTATCTGCACCAGCCCTACCCACAGACCCAGAGCCTAGACGGCTAAGTCCAACTCCACACACACAATGTCCACCCCTCAATGTTCTAGGGCACTAGGCCCACCCCTACTCAGAACCCCACTGGCTAAGCCCATACACATGCTCCCTGGCCCTCGATGCTCCAGGGTGCTGGGCCCAGCCCCACCCAGAGACTCAGCCCAACTGGTTGAGTCCGAACCTACAGACATGCTGTCTGCCTCAAATGCTTAAAACCCTGAGTTTAGCCCCAACCTTAGAGACAGAACCCCGTCAGCTGAGTCTATACCAACAGACGCTCTGCCCTGATGCTCCAGGGTGCTAATCCCAGCCCCAGCCACAGGCTCAGAACCCTGCAGGCTGAACCCACACCAACAGACACTGCCCTCATATTTCAGGGTGCTGAGCCCAGCCCCAGCCCCAGAATGAGGCCACCAGCTGAGCCCATACCAGCAGACATTCAGTCCCGATGCTCCAGTGCTGACCCCAGCCCCTGCCAGAGTAGGAAGCCCACTAGCTGAGCCCACAGCCACACCGGCACTCTCTCCAGACCGACACTTCAGGGCGCTAGACCTGGCCCCCCTTGCCCTGCGCTGGAATCAAGGTGAGTGCTAATCATGTACCATGCAGTGCAGCACCTGGGAGGAGCCCCAGAAACTGTTCTTGGGAGAGCAGACAGCGGAGGACAGGGGCCCAACAGTGGTACCCTGTATTCCCACCTGCCCCCTCTCCTCAGGCCACACCCTGCCCCTTACTCTGGAGCCAAGATTCACCTTGACAAAGATTTCGGGCCAGTTCTCGTCCTCTTCGTAGGCAGCCATGAGCAGGTTACAGGCCAGCACAGAGACCAGGCTGTTCCCCTTGGCTTTGAAGTTGATGGAGGCATCCCGACGCAGAAGGCTGCACAGCGCCTGGGTGAGGTGGGGTGAGGTGGGTGAGGTGGGGCTCGGGTCACTCAGGGGAACAGGGGCTCCTGTCTCCGCACATTAGAGGATGGGAGGAGGGGGCCAGGACAGGGACCATTCGCACCTCAATGACACCCTCTGTGGCAAAGATGTTGGGCTTGATCTTGGCCAGGTACATGAGGCTCAGGTACAGCGTGCTGTCGGGCTTGGCCCGTGTGAGCCGCAGCTGCTTGGCCGCCCCACACAGCACGCCCTCGATGCGCTCATCGTTGCCCTCAAGTTCTGCAGCCTCGATCTCATCCAGCAGCACTGTGGGCAGGACTGCAAGGTACCAGCATGTGGTCAGATGGCAACAGAGACTGGGACGCCCCCAGCCCCTCGGGGACACAAACAGGTCATTAGCATGAAGAAGTGTCAGGGCGTCCCGCCACCCATCAGCACACTACCTCCCAAGCAGCTACATACACATGCGAATCACCCACTACCCAGTTCATCCAAGGAACCCCTGGGGGCCCAAGTGGTCAAAGCACATGACTGTTAACCAAGAGGTTCAAGGTACAAGTCCACCCAAAAGCACCATGGGATAAAGCCCTGACAGTGTATTTCTGAAGGTCACAACCTTGAAAACCTTACAGGTCAGAGTTCTACTCTAACAAATTTGGGGTCATCACAAATCAGTCTACTTAATCGCAGCTAGTTTATCAGCAGGAGTGTGGGGATGACCCCCACTGGACCAAGCCAGGGACGGATGTTACCTTCAATTGGTATCACAGAAGGTTCTTTAATTGAGGGAGATATAGCTCGTTTTTCTGCCACCGCAGCCTCAGCCAGGCGGCCCAAGGCACTCAGTGGGGGTGTGGAAGAGAGTTTGGGGCGCTTGGGGAGGCCAGTCAGCGCTGAGGCACTAGATAGCGCAGCTGTGGCATCCCGCTTGCGCTCTGAAGGCAGGCCAGGAGGGGCTGGCTTCAGCAGAGTGGAGGCTGTCTTCGACTCACTGGCCTGTCCCTTTGAGCCCAGGGCAATAAAATCTCCTGGTGGAGGGTGTCCTGCAGAGAGAACAGAGAACGTGACACACTCCCACAACGCCTGAGGTCAAAAGGGTCTCAGAGACTGGATCCCACCACCTGTTACTTCAGAGGATACGAGATAAGGTCAGAGAAAGCAAGAAATAAGGCAAGGTTAACAGCAAAGCTGGAAGTGGTCCATCCGATGCTGGTTTACAGCGGCCACTTCTAAATCACTTAGGAGGATTCACTCCCTCAGCCCTCAACATTCCTTAACTAGCTGTTAAGTCCACTCACAGTCACTAACAGCAGGAACTCTCACACTAGGGGGTCTCTGGGTGGTCCAGTGGGGTAAGTGCTCGAGGACTACCCAGAAGGCTGGCAGTTCAAACCCACCCAAGGGTCCCGTGAAAGAGAAGTTAGGTCCTTGAGAACCCTAAGGAGTATGCAGTTGTCTTCTGCACACATGGGGCCACCATGACTCAGTAGGAATCAACTCTATGGCAACTGTCAACCCTCCTTTTAAATAAAGATGAGAAAAACGAGTCACAGAGAGGGTAACAAGCCCAAAGCAGCACAGCTGGGGTCTGTGTTCTGGGAGTCAGCTCCAGAGTCTGCATCGAACAACCATCCGAGATTGCCACCTTCCTCTAGGCACAGCAGAAAACAAGACACCTAGTCCCTCAAAGGCAGTCCCAGCTGTTCTAACTCTCCCTGAGGACTGATAGCTGTTCCTTCTCTTTATTGTTGTTGAAGAAGCCCTAAAGGCCGTGTTGGTTAAGCACTGGACTGCTAACCACAAGACTGGTGGTTCTAACCTACCAGCTGCTCAAGGAAGAAAGATGACGCTGTCTGCGGTTCCAACCCACCAGTTGCTCAAGGGAGAAAGATGACTGCTCCCATAAAGACTGACAGCCTTTGTAAGGATGAGATGAGTTGTAATTGACTCAAGGGCAGTGGTTTTAATCACTGGTGATAAGATACACAGCAAACATACATCAATTTAGTAATTCCCACACTACACTTCAATGACACTGACTTCATTCAAGTCATGCAACCATTCTCATTCTCCTTTGTCAAACTGTTCCTCCCCCATTAATACCTCAAAAAGTATCTTTAAAGTATTACAAAGTAAAGATGTCATTTTAAGGATGAAAGTGTGTCTGATCCAAGCCATGGTCTATTTCAATTGTCTCATATGCACGTGACAATAAATAAGGAAGACTTTAGAAGATTCATTGCATCTGAATTATGGTGTTGAAGAATAATATTGAAAGTACCCTGGACTGCCAGAAAAACAAACAAATCTGTTTTAGAAGAAGTACAACCCAAATGCTTCTTCGAAACATTTCATGTACTTTGTACATGTTGGTGTTGTTAAGTATCTCAAGTCCGTCTAATTTTAGCAACCCTGTATAGGGATTCCCAGGAGTGGCTGGTGAGCTTCAATCACTGACCTTACTTCCGGTTCAAAACAACCTTGTAGACCAGCACATTAACCCACAGCACCACATGATGACTCCCCGGACATGTTATTGGTGGTGGTGGTGATTACGTGCCATGAACTCGGTTCCAACTCATAGCGACCCTGCATATGGCTTCCAAGGCTGCAAATCTTTACAGCAGCAGAAAGCCTCATCTTTCTCCCTCGGAACCACTGGTAGTTTTTGAACTGTTGACCATAAGATTAGCAGTTCAACTCATAACCACTACACTATCAGAGTATGTTATTTGTTGTTAAGTGCCATCAAATCGATTCTGACTCATAGCCACCCTGTAGAGGGTTTCCATGGAGCAGCTGGTGATCTTGAATGTTATTTGTTGATGTTGTTGTGAAATGCCATCAAGTCGGTTCCGACCCATAGCGACCCTGTATAGGGTTTCCAAGGAGCAGCTGGTGAGTTTGAACCACCGACCTTGCAATTCAAACGGCTTTGCAGTCTGACGCATTAACCTTAGGAGGGATCAATCCCTGGAGAAGGATATCATGCTTGGTAGAGGGTCAGTGAAAATGTGAATACCCCCCAATGAGATGGACTGACAGTGGTACCACGGAAGAACGGTTTGGCCATCTGCTTTTGTAAAGAGACAGTCTAGAAAAGCCTATGGGACAGTTTTACCTCATTCATAACACAAGAGAATTTCACACCTCTGCCAGAGTTGGGTGGCCATGTTTTAAGTGCCATCAAGTTGATTTTGGCTTACGAGACCCCATGTGACACAGCAGCAACAATGGGCTCAAACATGACAATTGTGAGAATGGCGGCGGGCTGGGTAATGCTTTGTTCTGTTGTGCATAGGGTCACTATGAGTTGGAACCCATTCTACAGTACGAGACATCAACATTAGCACAATCTCATGGTCCCCTAAGCTTCCTATCGGCTTTGGTCTGGACCCGGTTCCCCACTGCAGGATGGTGGGGCTCCAATCGGCCCAGTGTCCCTAACAGACGCCACCACTGAACCCGGACCAGTGGGGAGAAGCGACTCGCCTGATGGCTTGGCCGCAGCGCTGGGCCTCCGGACCGTGGCAGTCTTGGCCCGGTTCATTCTGTCCCCTTGTCGCTCTCAGCCGCTCGCGTGTCACCTACGGAGAGAACCAGTACGCCGTCATTCATTCATTCCAGTGCTCATTCATTCGTTCCCCTGGGGCCCAAGGCGGAGAAGGATCAGAATGAGAGGGGAAGGGGCCCGAGCAGGTCCTGGTCCAGAGGGCGGGAGGGGGCGGCGGAAGCTTGGAACGAGCCAGCGGAGAAGACGGAGCGCAGAAGAGCACCCCCACTCACCTCCCACCCATCGCACCCGGAGCCCCGGCAGTCCCGGAGCCGGAAACAGGACTCTCCGCGCTCCGGAGACTCTACTTCCGGAGCAAACGGAAGCAAAACAGCGCGGTGTGAGGAGAGTGGGACGGAGAAACTAGAGGGGACTCGTGGCGCCTGCGCAGTGTTTGCAGCGCCCTCTGATGATGGGGAGTGTGATTGGGCCTCTGCAGTCTGCACGCGTTCAGGTCCTGGGTGGGCGCGCAGTGTCTTTGTTTATATGACGTAGTTGTTGTTGTTAAGTGCCGTCCAGTCGGTTCCGACTCATAGCGGCTCTGTATAGAGTTTCCGAGGCTTTAAATCTTCTCGTGGGGCGGGGCAGAAATCCTCATCACGAGCAGCGGCTGGCGGGCTCGAACCTCAAACAACACGTAACAACATACTGTGTATATATATATATACATATATATGTATGTATATAGTATATGTGTTGTTGTTATGTGCCGTCGAGTCGGTTCTGACCCATAGCGACCCTGTATAGGGTTTCCGAGGAGCAGCTGGTGAGCCTGAACCGCAGCCCTTGCGGTTCAAACCGACTTAGCAGTCCAGGGCATTAACCTACAGCATATATACGTATATATATAAACATACCCTGAACATCGTTACATTAGCTTTTGTCAACCACATTATGTTTGTTGCTGCTGGCTGATGTTGTTTGCTGTATGGACTCTGGCTCATGGCAACCCTCTGTGTAACAGAACAGAACGTTACCCAGTCCCGGACCATCTTCACAATTGTCGGTATGTTCAAATCTATTGCTGCAACCACTATGTATTTGAAGTGCCTCCCAACCTAAGGGTTCATCTTCCAGCAAAATATTAGACAACATTCTGTTTTAAACATAGGGTTTTCATTGGTTGCTTTTTTTTTTTTTTTTCCTACAGCACCACACTAGGAGTAGCTATGTAAACTTGTACATATTATTTAAACTCTTCAAATATGTTTTATCATCTGTAATTTGAGAATAATGATTCTCAGAGTTCCTTAATACTTTAAGGTATTCATTTAATATTATTTTATTTATATGCTTTATAACTGAAAGTGTATTATTTATTGTGTTTCTCCCAAGATTTAATATAAACCATTAAATGTAGCAGGTAAACATACACTGTAAACATGTTCAGTTTATAGTTTTTGAGTAAGGCCAGAGCTATATGACTTTTGGTCTCTACAGTAGAAAACCCTGTGGAGTAGTTTGACTTTATACACATGTGGTCTCCATAAGTCAGAATAAATTTGAAGGCAACTAACAATATCAGTTTATATGCTTAAATTTTTTTTAATGTTTTATTGTGAATTATGTGATAGTTTACATGGGAGAACTTTAGTTTTACAGTCATTCCATCATATTCATTGGTTGATTTTTGAAAGCAAATTACCAGGTCTTTATCCTAGTCTGTTTTAGTTTGGAAGCTCCACTGAAATCTTCCCACATTGGTGACCCTGCTGGTATTTTAGATACTGGTTGCAGAACTTTCAGCCTTACAGCAACATGCAAACTACCACAGTATGACAGACGAAAATATCAGCCATCAAGAAATCAAACAATAGATTGCAATGAGCAAATCGGCTGCAACAGACCTCTATGAAGCTTTGACAGCAGAGATACTACTTTGATGCCTAAGGTGCAGTTGTCCCAAGCCATGGTCTTTTCAATTGCCTTGGATGCATGCCACTAACAAGTCAGTCTTAGACAACGAATGCTTCCAAATGCTCAGTGGAAAGGATGCTTCCTTGGGGTGTGGCCTGCTCCCAGTATAATGAACACGGGGAAGGAACTCTCTCCAGCTGGGCACCTGGGACTCTGCAATTTGGCTTAAACCACCAGGTCAGTAGTTCAAGCTCACCAGCCACTCGGAAACCCTATACAGGGTCACTGTGAACCGGAACTGACTTGACAGGACTTAACAACAACAATAACCCCTGCCTGGGTCCTGATGTGGCGCTGCAGATTAATGCACTAGACTGCAAAGTCGGTTTGAATTGCAATGTTGGGGGTTCAAGCTCACCAGCTGCTCCTAGGAAACCCTATCAGGGCCATTATGAGTCAGAACCCACTCTACAGCACTTAACAACAACCCCTGCCTGGCAGTGATCTGGTTTAGCTGATCCCTGCAGGGTGCCCTGTGCTCTAGAAAGGTTGGGGTCATGAATGAATGATGCCTGTCAGGTCCTGGCAGGGGAAAGACCCCTGGAGTAGATGCTATAATGCTAGGAACTGGCTTCAGCCCCACAGGGATGTGACCTGGCAGGACCATCAGGCCCTCTGACCACCAACGTCCCTGGATTCTCTGCTGTGATCCAGAGTGGTGAGGGTCAGATGAGGGCCTGACCTGGTGGCCTCTCAGCAAGGGTCAGCTGAGCCCTTCAGCACACAGGTCACGGGAAAGGGCCCAGGGGTCACTTAGAGGGCTCTTCTGTAGCCAGCTGACTGGCCCTGCTAGAGGCTGGGGCAGAGGAAAACAGGGACCTGGACCCAGGCCCAGAGGTCAGTTATGCCGCTGGCTGCGTGAGTATATGTGTGCCCACAGTTTAACCATTAAGCAGGAGCTGTTCCATTCAATTGACAGGGGTCTGAGAGGGAATCTGGACCTAGATTGTATTCCCCAGCCCCCTGCCACTGTCCAGCTCAGGTCGCTTGACCTGGGTCATGCACTGGCAGTCCAGCCCAGCACCCCCTGCACCCCCACCTCTGAGACTCAGCCCAGCACTCCCAACCCCTCACCCCACCCACCCCATCTACCCCACTCCCCCATGGCTGCTGCTGCTTCTCCTGGATACCAAGCATTCACATTTCACTGCCTCTAGGCTGGAAACCCCAACCTCTTGTAAGGTTCACATGTGGTGGGACCCCAAATCTGACCTGCATTGGAGGACTGTGCCTCATTCAAGGGTCCACTGCTCCAAGACCAGGAGGATTGGTCTAGTTTGGGAAGCCTTCTGTTGTTATGCCAAAGGGAATTGGGGGTATCATGGGTAAGATACAAAAAGTTGGGAGCCCCAAGCCCCAAAATGTCTCATGCATCATATTACAAACCATACCCTCCCACCTCATCGCTCTTCCTCTCCTCGCCCTACCTGCCCTCCAAAGCCCACTCCCAAACTGTCGCTGCTCTCTCTCCTCTACCTTCAATGGCTCCTTTCTGTTCTGGACTGAATTGTGTCCCCCCAAAAGATAGCATTGACATCCTAACCTCTTCACTAGTGAAAACAACCTTGTTTGGGGAAATGGAAATTTTCTTTGCAGAAGGGATTGGAGGGAAGGAGGAATGGAAACAGGAGCCACAAGGAGGAAGTGGGAAGTGGGCTGTGACATTGTGGGGACCGTAATCAGTGTCACGAAACAAGTTGTGTATGATTATTGAATGGAAAACCAATTTGCTCTGTAAACTTTCATCCAAATCACAACAAAAAATTAAAAATGAAAGCAAAAAAAGTATCTTTGCAGATGTTCTAGATCAAGTTAATGAAGTCAACCTGCAGTTGGATACGTCTTAATCCTAAATTCTTCTGCGTGGTGCTTTATAAATGAGAGCAGGCATGGAGCCTTGAGTGCGTGGCACAGGGAGACAATTTGTGTGGAACCCTCTACAAGCCAAGGAATGTTAAGAAACATCCAGGGTCCCAGAAACAGAAGAGACAAGGAAGGATCTTTCTCTACAGTCTTCAGAGGAAACACACCCAGAATTTGGACTCCTAGTCTCAGGAATTCAGAGACAATTCATTCCTGTTCTTTCTTTCTTTATCTTTTTTTTTTTTTTTTTGCTTCTTATTTTGAATTCAGTGAAGGCTTACAGACAAGGTCTGTAAGGATTGAAATCCTCTCCACACAACAACAGTTCTCCTACTTCCTCCATATGGTTCCTATTTCTAGTCCACCCTCCTTCCCATCCCTTCTCAACTTTGTCCTTAAGTAAACGTTAATCTTTTGATCTTGAATAATTAACCGTTCCATGGTGAGCACATCCCTGATCTTGAAAGTTGCTGGCTTTATGTATTTTCTATTGTTGCAACAGCATAAGTAACTAAGACACCATCTTTAAGAATTTCCTAGGTAGATGGTAACAAAGTATCACAAGCCAGGTGGCTTAAAACAACAGAAATACATTGTCCTGTGGACATTCTTTCTGGAAGTTCTACATTCAAATACAAGGTGTAGGGAGGGCTGAACTGCCTCTGAAGGTTCTAAGGGAAAGTCCTTGTCTGTACCATTTTCTGGTGGTTCTTTCTGATCCCAGTTTCCTTGCTTGTAGACCCATCACTCTAATCCCTGCCTCTGTCTCCAAGTACAGGCAAACCTCGATTTACTGTGCTGTGTTTTTCACAAATGGAAGGTCTTGGGCGTGCCTGCATCAAGCATGTTTATCAGTGCCGTTTTTTAAATATTAGGTACTCTCTTTGTGCATCAGGCCCCCCATTTTGGTCATTCTCACTAGATTTCAAATTTTTTCATCATGCAATTATTGCACACTTCATAGGCTACAGTATACAGTAGTGTGTCAATGTAACGTTTATATGCACTGGGAAACCAAAAAAACCCATGTGATTTGCTTTCTTACAAAATTCATTCTTGCAGTGGTTGCTTGTAGCCTTCTTCCTGCCTCCTACTGTGTCTTTTTTTCTCTTTAAAATTTTCTTATTTTTTCTTTTTGAAAAGGACACCGCTCAGATGGGATCAGGACCCATGCTACTTCAGTGGGACTTCATGTTACCTGCTAACACCTTCAAAGA